ATTCCTGCTACATGAAAATCTGTTCTTTGCTGTGCTAGGAAGACTTGCAAGCTTTGGAGAGGACTAACCTGACCTACAATTGCGTAGTACCAAACAAAAACGACCCTCACACTTTTTCCAAAGCGCTCCACGTAATTTGTCAGGGTAATATCAGCCTTGCTTGGAGTTAATTTCAACTTGTGGTTTTCTGTCTGTTACAGAATCTCATTCCTGACCTGGGCACCACTGCTGCAGCAGAATAAAGTCTGAAGGCATTTGATACATAAACAACTTTAACAGCCATCTTTGATATATATCATGCAGTTATTTTTTGTCTGATATCTTCTCTATGAATACTAGTTACTGAGTTTTAATTAGCCCTAAAGCTAATTAAAACTATGTTAAAACCTACAGGACGACATTGTGAAGACATACCTGGGAAGGTGACTGACATACCAACTGCAAATCTCCCTCAAGTCAGCAAGAACACTCTGCACAGCAGCAAATGGGCTGATGTTGCTCTGTACCCCTTCTACTTGTAAGCACTGAAGCCCGTAAGCCTGACTATATCATGCAAATCTGCCAGTGTTTCTGCTTTTGTATCTACAGTCCTTAAAAATGTTCTTAAAGATATAGTTTAACCAAGAATATATCAGGGGACTTGTCTGATGAGAAACTTTTTTAAAAGATGTAATTTTTTAGTTATTTTTTAATAAAAACACAATCTCACCTCCATAGAGAAAAAGACTGAGCATTAATTAAGCCTTGGGAAGGAGAACAAAAATCATAATTGAGGAAAAAAAAGTTGCTTATAATGCCAAATGTTCAAATTAATTCTCTCTAAATGTTTATTCTAGTAGATGTATGCTTTCAAACTGCTTTTTATGAAGGTACAATCTGCTTTTACACCATGGGAAAAATGTCATTTCACAACATGCATGTTGCCTATTCCAAATTATATAGCATAGTCCAACTTAATGGACATACGTCTATTATCTTCGCTCTACTTAGACACCAAGAAACATTTATTGAACATTTGCAATGGTTCCTTATAGGGAAGAAGATAACACTGTATTTGCTAAAGTAACAATGAATAACAGAACGACCTTGGGAATGCCAGTCACATCTCAACAAAAACTCACTGTAGCTTCAGAAGCCTGGCAATCAAACCAGTATTAATCCAAATGGAAGGAACTACTGAGGTAAAGTTTAAAATCATGTCCAACTTAGCAATTAAAGATACATGGAACCATTTCATCTATTTAAAACAATACCCAAATGTGGTTAATTTTCAGACTAGGAACAGGGCCAGCGTGCTGTAATTGATTTTGCTGCAGGTGAATATGATTCTTCCAGTATGTGGGCTTTGCTAAGAGGATCCTTTATAAACAGGCCTCAGGACAGTTTCAGAGATGCCACCAGAGAGCAGCAGTATCCCATGAGGAGAATAAAAAATTAAATAAAAAAAAAAGGCAATGAAGCTGTGCTATGGGATTTGCCTTTACATTTTTTAAAATGCCTTGCATCAAGTGTTCAGCAGACGGCAGCAGCACAACTAAAGAACTAAAGAGTCTGGCTAACTGCAGAAGTAAACCCCAGGACTCAACACACTGTTCTAAGCCCAGTGAAGATTATTACAGTTCTCTTTTTATTTCCATTATGTCTTAAAATTAAAATATTTAATTACAAAACTCAAATGCCCCAAGCAGAGGTTCCTAAATCTATGGAACAGCTAACAAGTCATTTCTCTGAAGATCATGGCTGTTTATCTATGCAGCACCTGGACATTACAGTGATAGAAAATGAAGAAATTCTAGCATGGATCCACAATCTTAAGACACATCTTCAGCCTCAGACTTCTCAGACTGTGCAATATAGGTCCAAACTTCCCATTTAAGCTACATATTATTTCTATTATTTTCTGACTATTTACATAAACTGCCCTAAATACACACCAAGCCCAAATCTACGCATGACTGATTTTTTTTCCCCACTTTGCCAGAAACCTAGGATGGCAGGTGGCTTTTTCAACTCTTGTTGTGGTACAGCTTCATCATACCACTCCAACCAATTTGATTGGCATCTTGAAGAAAATACATGAAAAATTACTTCCTGTCAGCTAGCAAAGAAACTGAATATTAGCTTCACATAATGCCTGTGGCACTTTATATGCTCAGTGTTTATATATTCATTCTTAGTGAAAGACATTGAAGAGTTATTCTTCCAGACTGTACTGATTATTATAAAATCTTTTCTACATTTCAGAAGACTCCTAGATGCTGTATATCTGAACCCTACAATCTGATGCTTACAAACAACAGTACAAACTGAATTTAAAAAGTATTATGTTCAGCAACTGAATAATTGTATTTTAAACAGCTATACTTTTATATATCACATTTTTTCCATAGCACCCAACAAATTATTTAATGTAATGCATAAACAACTATGTATACAGTTTATATTTAAAACTTATGTTTGCAAAGGCTGCTCAGATGCAAACCAAAAGGTAGCATAGATTTGCTCCTACCCCTAGGTTATGCAGGCCAAGGGCAGCACAAGGCAGTGTTCTGAAAACAATACTGGGCTTTAGCTTTTGAAAGGTTTGTTTTGAGGTATACAAAAATCATGGAATTTCTGGCTTGCCTACATCTTGTGGGGGTGGAGGGTGTTTCTGTAAACAGTAAAACATCTTTATTTTAGAAAGCTGTCTTTGTACTTCAAAGGAAAAGTTAAATGATCTGAAGTATTAAGATCAGTTTTATGTTCAGAACACTTCTATAGCACAACAATTTTTATTGCTATAAATTATCATAGCTGGCTATGGAGTAGATTTTAACAATGCAATTGGAAAAAGAACCAACCTGTTTCAGACTGCATTTCAGTGGCTCTTTCTTCCACTTTAGTAGGTGCTGCTTCTGCTGACTCTGTTACTACAAAAGACAAGTTTTATTATTGCTTCAATTTCTGCACCAACAGAAGTTCTATGAAATACTGTTCTAGAAATCCACCTTCTCTTAAACAAACAGTGCCCAGATATGTTAATCTCAACTATGAGGTATTTTTGTACCTGAGAGAATTGAATCTCTGTTCAAACAGAAGAATTATAGAAGAACAAAACTTTTCCTACAATTCTTCTTAGTCCATTTCTTACTAAATCTCTCCAGAGAAGCTAATCTTTTCTCCCCACCCCAAGCTGTCTATCTGATTAACACAAACACAATTGCTATAATTAACCTAACTATAATTAATTTGGTATTTTCTGCTTGTTTCTGATCTGCATACCCTAAAACCTGCCTACTTTCTCACACTGCATGAGCCAATCTCCTAAAGCAGTAATACTGCTTCTTACAATCTGAAGGTATTTGGCACTCATAGTTGTACTTGGAAGTTCTTTCAGGGTGGTATTTCTTTAATGTTTAGCCAAAGTGCCATACTTTCTGTTGTGCCTCAAAGAGCATAAAGAGATTACCAGTCTGATTGCTGCTGTCACTTTGCTGTTCTGGTGCTCTGGTGGGTGGTGAGGGTGCTTTGCGCTTCATCCTCCGCAGAGAAGAGCTGACAGCAGCAGTGTCACTGAGCGCCAGGGAACCTGTCCGGACCAATCCTAGAGGAGCCTAGGAAGGGAGGCAGGGGAGGAAGAAGATTATTAGCAAAGAGAAACAGAAGAATTGCTCTAGTAATTATTCTCCAAAAGTACTTACATTATACCTTTGGGAAAGACAGCGTATATACCTAGTACCAAATGCATTCTGTTGCACATCTTAATTCCTCCAAGGAGTAGTTTAAAAAAAAAAGTTTCTAGAATAATTGAATATATTCACAGAGGTACAAGATACAGCAGTAGAAAAAAAAATAATCAGTTGTTACATATAGCATAAAAGAGAATTAGAATTTTTGTATGCCCAGAGGCCATCTACAAACACCAAATACTTCTTCCCAAAGGCAGCTAAAAAATCACTGTGGAAAGAAGCTTCAGCTACACCCCTCTGCAATGACATGACGTTTCCTTCTCAGTGCCTTCAACAGCAGTCCTAATTGGGCTATATACATAATTATTAGGATTTTGCTTCTCTACTTACAATACTTAAACTTTTACAGAAATTTTTTGAATGCCAGCTTTCAAAACTTACCTTGCAAAGCACTAACTGTCCTATAATCATAATACTTACTGAAATTAAATTGCAATAAATTTTAATAGCAATAATACCTACTGATGTTAAATTACAGTAGTCTTCATTACTGTAGTAAAAAAACAAATCTTCATTCATAAATAAAACAATTTTTAGACCTGGATGAAGTCTGTCTACTGAAGATTTCATAGTTTTATGATGTAGCAGTCCAATTGCATTTTAAATGCGATTTAAAATATATGGTGTCTCAAAAAGACAGTAGCTGTAAATGTGCCTGTCACTTTTAACTGCAGTTTGCCTTATGTAAAAACCTTTTATTTCCACATATATTACAATTATAATGTTCAAGATCCCAGCAATAAAGGAGTGTATTTTGGCATTAGACACAGCTGCCTATTTCTGTAGTAATTCTGAACCCTATCACTTGTCTATTCAACAATAGAATAAAATCCAGCAGTGACATTCATTTCTGGATGGATCCACACAGCAACTGATGTTGCCCACCTGACAAAGCAGAATATGGAGAAACAGGGATGGCAAATACACATGCGGATTTTTGTTTCACTGACGATCCTTTCAAAAATATCACTCACAACAGAATTGTTGACGGTGTTAACATGGAATCCATGGAATAAGATGCTCATCATTTGACAGCTACCACTGAACAAATGCACATCCGACAGTACGGTGGATATTAAAGACCAAAAGCTAGAGTATTTGGTTGCATACAATCAGAACTGTAGATAATTACAAACAAGAGAAAGGATGCTGGCAGATGTCTGTGAAGCAGGGTTTGGCAGCTCCCATTAGATCTCAACAGAATACCTGAATGCATGAAGTGGGATGGTGAAAACCATCTTCTGAGCTACTCTGGGCATACTCGGACATCTATTTTGTCTCACCTTGATGTCATGCATGACAGATCTCTTAAGATATTTTACTGCACTGTAAGGAGCAACACTGCCCAAAATATGCACACCATTCTTCTACCAATCACTTTAGTGCCAAAGTAAGCAACTCGAAACTTATACAGCAGAAGGATGATTTGAGGTTTTAAGAAAAAACAAAGCACAAGGTGGAATGTTCTTTTAAGAACAGCAGTGGATTTGAACATAGCACTCCAGTCCTAATTAAAAATGCTTGGCATACTTGAATAGTTTTTAAGCAATTCAGTTTTTAGACTAAAATATCACACAAGAGTTTTCAAATATTAAAAAAAATAATGAAAAAAGTATTCAGTATCTGAACTTAAGGAAGTCAAATTTAGTATTAATTTCATAAATAAGGCTTTTCTGTTGTTAAATAATTTTCATCCTTGTTGGGCAGTTCTATTTTTCCTCCCTTTGGCAGCTCTCTCTCCAGGCTGAAGCCCCCATCTCCTCTGTTGCAGACACTGTTTCACTGTTCCAAGGTCTGCACTCTCATCTGCTTTGCATGGGCTCCCTCAGCTGACTCGGCTGGCACAGAGTTCTGCACATACTCGCTCAACTAAACAGATGTCACCAGAGTTTCCTCCTGCACAGAAAGAGTCTCTGTGTAGGGGGAAAATAATGTTCTCATCATAAGAGCACAAATGCTACCAGAAGATTTTTATAAGCCTTTCTACTGCCCTTTGCATCCAAAGAAACAAATGATTTGCAAAGAGATTTCAAGAAAGTACTAAATGTTCCAGATAAGGTTCAAGCATTGAACAGATTTTCTCAGGAATTATTCAACATATGAATATTAAGAGCTTTCAAATCCTAACAAAGCCTGTGATGTGAAAATTGTACTTTAAACAGATGGAAAAAAAAAAAAAAAGATAATAGTATTAAGACATTTCTGGCAAAGTTTCAGAACATACATCTGTGTACCAGTGTTTTATCACCTACACCCAAATTAAAAACCATGTTAGAATCACTAAAGTAATTAACCATGCTTGAGCAGAAACACCAGCAAACTGTCATCACTTTCACAACATATGCAGAAGTTCCACTTTTAACACAATGGAGCATGCAAAGGTGGACATGAAGCTTTTTAGCTTCATATGTACAGACCATTATGGCACCAAACCCCATACCACTGCAAGCAGACATTCATAGAGGCCAGTGCTTCCTAAATTCCAGCTTCTGTAAGCAGTGGCAGCTCTGCTGCCTAGCCCTTATCTTTTCAAAAAGCAAAGAAAAGGTAATCAGGGCACAGTAATTCTGCAAACAGAAAACAAAAACACACACACAACTGTTTGGGAAAGAACACGGCGGTAATGGAGCATTTCAGTGTGCTAGAAAGCACACCTCACACCAAGGGTCACTACGCACACATTTTCAAACCACCAGTACCCACCTCTTTTGCTCCACAGATAATTAAGTTTAACAGAAGGTACACAGGCAAGGGGGATATCCAAGCAAATTGCTAGCATTTCTTTCTTGCCTTTGCACAAGTGTGCCCACAAAGGTATGTCCAAGAGGCAACAGAAATAAACTGTACTTGCTCTTACAATGATTAATGCACTCAATCTCTTACATGACTTAAGCTTCCCAAAATACTTAAATATAGCCTAAGTACTACAGAGAATGTAATGTACAGCTGATACCAGAAAGAAAGTACTGCAAACTTCAGAAAGAGCAAACAGGTAGTCTTCAGCATTGTCTTCTCCCAGGTAATACTGGTTCTATTCAAGACCTCCCTGATGTTCATAGTGCTCTCTGCATCATTGCCCAACTTTTTCTTTAAAAGGCTGACCATCAAGTTTCAGGCAATTGAGTCTCTGGCATGACTTCTTAAGCATGGAACCTACCCCTTCCAAAAATCTTAACTAAGCTATTCCATGACAGTTGCTAATATTTTCAGAAATACCTCATGGTTTAGGTGCTTCCCCCAGTCCCCCATCTTTTCCTCTTTTCTTTCTAAGGGGTAGACTGGAGATGTAAATTTCTTTAGGAGTTGGGGTTGTGTAAATAAAAGCAAGCTTTATTTCTACAGCTGAGAAGTTCAATCCAGCATGTAAAACTGTAAATGTTTTGACTAAAAAATCTCCTCATAATTGTTCCTACCCAAGTCAGCTCCTTTACAGTAACTGAAAACAGTGCAAGAAGACAAACCTTCACGGGATAAAGATAGCACAGTCAGTCTAGTTTTCACAAATAAAGCAGTAGGAAGAAAATCAGCCGTGGCATTTTGGACATAATCAAGCTTTCTTTCAAAATAAACTTTCTTTTAAAGAAATTTTATTACTAGAAGATTGCACCCACTTTTATAAGAACTGTGAAGATTCACATATTGCATTATAAAACAGCAATTTGCAAAAACCCTTGAGAGTCCTCCCTGCTTGCAAGTGTATTTAAACTTGCTAGTTCTAAACATACTGCTGACAAGAGCCATTCTGCCCAAAATGAGAACCCAAAATGAGCAAATAAGTGAGGGATTTCAATATTAGAGACTAACATGCTCATTTCTGATATGAGTTAACACAGAAATTTGCAGGACAAACATTAACTATTTAAACTGTACTAGTCATCTTCTAAGCCTCATAAAGGTTGAGCAAACCAAGCTACGTAGTAACTTATAAAAGCTACCCTTACAACCATTGTACTGTCTCCCCTAACAATATAGGATCCTATCTCCAACAACTAATTCTCTAAAATTGAAGCAGAAGAAATTCCAACACTCACAGCAGAATTTAACTGCTCATATAAAGAGAAAGCAGTTCCTTTTTTAAGGGAAAGAAGTGGAGAAGCTGTAGGAGGTAAATATTAAAACCCTTTTTCATTCTGTGAGAAATTGGACTACAATACACTGTGAATTTGAAGACAACACTGAGAACACTGTTCCATTAAAGTTGGCTCATTTCACTGTTGCCTGATGTTACTACTTCGGCATGTTTCTATCAAAGCCAGACAAACAGTTTATCCAGGCAAAACTGACATTTCACTTTGCCTTCCTTGTGGATCTTACAAGAGATTTGTCCATAATAAGGCACATGCAGAAGGTCATCCTGGTCCATAGAAGAAATAATGTATCCATTCTGCCAAATAAACTGAAGGGCATGCTTCAGAACTCAGGCATTCTTAGAAGCAGTATGATTTGCAAGGAAATGTTTCTTGTAAGACAAAAGCAGATTAAAATTAACCCTCTAAAAAAGAAAAAGTATATCCTAAGTTCTGTAAATTAACTTAATGGGTCACTGCAGTAACAAGAGAAATTCCCAGACATACTAAACAGCCCAGCAAATAACTAATCAGCAACCCAAAAAAGACTTCAAAGCCTGAAAACAGGATGCTCATTTTCAACAGTGGGGAATATGAGAGAGCAAATTCTTATATCATTTTCAATGAAATAATTGCAGTTTAGTGTGACCACTGTACTTGCCTCAATATTGAGAGTTGACATGGACTAAATGAGGATAAATTGGCCACTTTGGGTTAAGAAAACATTAATGCACATGATACCGATGAAGAAATGCTGTGTAACCATCAAAACTGACTTTATTCTATGATGTTTATGTTTCATTTCAAATTCTATATTGAGGATGTAAATCCTTGAAATAAAGACTGATTCTTACTGTGTATTTAAATAGTGCCCAATTCCATTTTAAAGCTGCAAATCGTGTAAATGACATCTTTATTTAAATAAATTGTCCCTCATCTAACACTTTATGTTTTTTGGAATTGTCCTTTATTTTACATTTAAGTGAAACCAGAAGTCTCAGTACCTAGAGATACTTCTTTTGTTTATTTTAGAGACTTCAGTGGAAGCTCTGAGAATCAAGCTTCCAAACCTTCCCCTTGACAGCATTACTCTAGCAGTGCTTGATCTCACAGCAAAAATAAGTATTTGTTGGTTTTTGTTAGTGATGGAGCTCTATTATATTTTTTTCTGTTCTCCTAATGATGTGCTTACAGTTTTGAAATTCAGGACTCTGATTCACTCATGTGAAATGGAACAGTTTAAATTGCAAAAGCCCTTTGGAGATCATTTGGTCCAATCTTCTGTTAAACACAAGGTCTTAGATTCAGGAGCCTGTCAAGTCACATCTTGAATATGTTCAGTGAGGGAGCTTCTGCTACCTATTGTGAGTGACCTATTCCAATGTTAAGTTGTTCTCAAAGTTACTAATTTTATTCTTGTTTCTGAATGCAATTTCCTGATACAACTACTACCCATTAGTCCTCATCCTGTCACCATGCATTCTTGCAAATAATATAACTCTACTTTCCCTGTAGCACTCTAGGTATCAGAAGAATGTTATTTGATCCCATCTGAGCCTTCTTTTCACTAGAACATTTACATTCTCCAAACTTTAAACATCATGGTGTACCTCCACTGGACTCTTGCCTGTTTTTAATCTCGATCTTGAATTGCAAGAACCAAACCTGGACACAGTAGCACAGACGTAGCCTAAAAAACATAAAATACACTGGATTCAAGGTTGATCACATAGTCAGACTCCAGCCTGTACTGGTGCTTGAGATTACTCCATTACAGATATGGAATTTCACGTGCAGTTGCATGTTGCAGGCTGTCATTGTCTCCCTGAATGGTGTACCTTGTTGTCATTGTCACCCTTTTGGTGTACCTATATCTCCACCCAGTTTGGTGTCAACTTCAAAAGTTTGTTGAGAGTGCATTCAATTCCATCATCTAGGTTGCTTATAAAGATATTTAACAGTATTGGCCACACTACCAACTCCTCAGGAACTCTGGCTGACAACCAGTCTGATTTTGAGCCGTTAACCACTACAATTTGAGTTGTTTAGCTAGTTTTTGGTCCTATTTTGTGGTTTGTCTGTATTTCACTGTCTTCTGAACGAAAAAGTTGTGGCAGTCTGTGACAAACACTTGGCTAAATTAAAGATAGATTATCTCATCTTTCCTCCTTGGACTTCTGCTTGCCACTAACTTATAAAAGCCATTCTTGTTACTCTTGATATCTCCACCCAGTTCAAGCTCCAGGCTTGCCGTTACATTCCGAACTGTGTCTCTGCATGCCCAGGCAGTATCTCTCTGTATTTCTGGATGGACCACTCTTGTGCTGCAGAAGACTGCCTCTGCACTCTTCCAAGGAGTAGCTATATCCTGCAAGGAAGTCTCTCACAGAACGTCTCTCCTAAGAGTTCCCTGATCAAGGTAAGCAATGTGTACTATGCTGTTCAAAGTCATTCATTAAATAATATTTATAGGAAAGCAAATACTAAAAAACCAAAATATTTTACAGGAAAGAATACAAATCAAAGCACAGTACAAATATCTGCACAACTGAAGTCCAAAGCTCTATATTAGCTGATAAATCGCTGAGCAATCAAATCAGAATGCAACAGAAGCCATCTCAAAAAATATATGCCATAGACTTCTAGGTTCTAAGGGAAAATACATACAAAACCATAACTTAATCTGGACTTCTTTCTTTGTGAGCTATTCAGCTTCAGGCAAATTGCTTTAGATGAATAAGAAATGTCAGTACAAAATAATAAATCTAAGAAATGTTGTTGAGTGACAAATCCTAGCCCAGCAGTCATACATTACTGTTAGACATAATAGAATAGTAATCGTTTAAAGCATGTTGACATTAATAAATGATTTTCAAAAAATTTGAATTCAATTAGAAGGCAAACATGATGAGGTAAAAAAAAAAAAACCACCCAAAAAACCCAAACACATTAATTCCACACCCCAAGCTCCTTTTATTAAAATACAGAAATAAACCTTTGTCTTCTTCAAATGATAAAGCTTTTTAGCAGGACACAATACACAAATTCAGAACTTCTGTTAAACAGTGCTCTCTTGTGGTTCTGTGCATCAATGAAATAGTAAATCACTGCCGAAAGATAAAGTCTCAGTTTGAAATTTCTCGTCTCCAAATCTAACACAAAATTAATCCCTCAAACTTGTATTTCATTTAGGGCTGTTTTTTACTTTTCTAGGATGCCAATAACCTCATGTATTAAAGCTCACATTTAGATAGTGCATTCAAAACAAAGTAAGAAATGAAAAAATTATGACAATTTGTCTTGATCTCTAAATGGAATGCACAATTACAATATGTGCAAAATTGGGACAAAACTTAAAACATCAATTCTCCCAAATTCTGTTGGCAGACTTTCTGCTTTTCATGGGTTATGCAGGTTACTTAAATATGTAGCCTACATCTCATAGCTTTAATTAGATACATCCCTATTTGATTCACATAAAACCTTTCTTAAACTTGCTAAAAGCACAAGAATGCTAAGACTTCTTCCCAAGATCTTAACCTGTTATAAACAAAGAACAAGCTGCTCTTTGTCACATGTAACTAAAACATTACAAATTACTGGACATGTCAAACATCAACTATGAGATATGATCGAGTGAGACAATGTTCTCACACTTAAATATATAGTCATTGAAAAGAAAACAAGTGTTCATAATATCAATTACCTAAGAAGCTGATTTTGCCTTTTCAAAATACAGCTGCTACTTTGGATACAGGATAGAAAGTTTAAAAGGAACATATATTTCAATTTCTGTAGTTACTTTCAAAACAAAATATCTGAAGTACTACAGTTTTATTTCCTTTTTTTTCAAGCCTCACCAGATATCAACAGAGTTATTATGTTTAAAATTCTTGATCCAGGGGAAGAGAATCCAGTGTAACTAACCTGTTCATTCCTATCTAGGCTGTTAGATCTCACAGTACCAGATGCTGGTCTGACTTGGGCTTGTGCAAGTTCCTGGGGAGCACTCTGAGAATTTGGCAAAGGCGGTAAAGGAGCTCTCCGTTTCTTCGGCATTTCAGCTGGCAGAGTGTTTGAATCATACTGCTTGCTCACAGTGTTAGATCTCGTGATGAATGTTGGCCTTGGCTTGCTCATCAATGGAGTTGCTGGGGCACTGGCAGTCTTGGGGTACAGGGAGAAGGAAAAAATCTAAGTTACTTATAATTTATGGAAAACAAGCAACAGTATTGATTGCACAATATGAATGTTTCTAGAAGTTTCACTTATACAGTGAAACTTGCTTACTTGTTCTCTTTTCTTCTTACTTCGTTGAAAAAAGCTGAAAAACCCTTTGTTTTCTTTCTCTTTCAGACCATCTAAGTTTTCAGATTGGTAGGAGTCTAAAATAGAAAACAATTGTTCTAGATGTTATTTATTGCACAGATTATCTCTCCCACATTCTTACTATTTCACTGCCTGTCATAAGCCTCCTGGAAGGATACACAAAACACATACTACAGATGATGTTTTTTCTAAACACTGCAAAATTAATAGATTTCCTACCATCCATGTTCTTCTTCTGGTCTCTCTTAGAACTAGGAATAGATGAGTTTCAGATGCTACTAATATCCCCAGAACTTAATCCAGCCCATCCCACTTGTCATTTATCATGGTTCATATCACAAAGGCTATAAAAGGGAAAAAACATTGGCCTCTCCAGCTCTCAGTTCCTAACAGTTTAAATTAATGGCAAAATGTGAAGTGGGACAAGCTAGGCACAAGCCTGCAGAGGGTATGACTATTGAGAAAGGTCACTGCAACACCTGGTAGGTGCTGCACACAGAACTGCCTGACAGTCATTGTAGAGAGAGTCAAGTCCACTCTGGTATCTTGCAGAATTTATCCACCTTACATTTTCTCATTCATGCAGATGATTTGTCAATCTAAAGGTTGTCTCTTTTCAATTTTTACTTTCAAGATTTGACTATCTTACAGAAATCCCACTGAATGCAAATTTAACAAGCAACAATAATCAGCAAGGCTCTTGGTACAAGCACGAATATAAACATGACAGTGAATTTAATCCATTAGTCCAGGGCAAAATCATACAGAAATACTTCATATATCTGGGTATATCCATGTCTTCATTTTTTTTTTTTTAAATGTATTTATGATAGGATTGGAATAATTACTCATGTCACAGTTAAGCAGATATTACAGTACAAGCTGATGGTAATGCCACTTAAGTGCTGCAGTTTCACCACCTATTTCAGTAAATCATACCTTGCAAAGACGGTAAATTTAAATCAACTGGTGATGTGGCTACAGAGAAACAAAAAGAAAGACAGAAAATGTGAATCTGAATCAAGGATGAAGTTATAAGTTACAAACACAGAAAGCCAAGCAGAATTTTCAATAGTAGGAAGAAGTAACAGGATACTTCACTGAAGCAAAAGAATGTGTATCTTCACGACAGAATGCTAGGTGCTATTTTAAAAACTTGAGGCTAAAGACATGCAACACAGACTGGAACCTTGTAAAAAAGAAGACAGGGTCTGCTTTCTGAAGGAAAGAGGAAAACTAGTGTAAAGAATAATTTGGTCTGTAAGTTATCAATTATCAGGCAGTCCAAACTTGGAAAACAAAGAGGAATGTATCATTAAAATATAATCTGAATAAAATAAGATTTTAATTTAAATTCTTTTAAGTAAAAGTCCACACCTCACCATCTTGTTTCATAAAGAAAGCTGAAAGTTCAGCACTTTGAAGTTGTCTGCAAAATTGAAATGCTGACCACTTTGTGTCAAGAGAGCTGAAGTATATCTGAATTTTCTAGCGGGGCGCTGCCTTGTGGAAAGTGTATATGCCCTTGTATTCTCTCCTAAGGATTTTTAGCTGTTCATTCAAAGGAAGTACAGGTCATACTATGCAAAAGGCAGCTCTGCCAGTCAGTAGATGAAAGCAGCAGTCAGACAACAAACAAGACAATGCACTATGGGTACATGTAGTCCATGGTTAGGCAATGAAAAGTATGTTGTTTTGAAGTGAACAAGAGAAAGATAGTACATTTTTGTTTTCTCCATGGGAAAAGGACATATTTTCCAAATCTGTCATTCTCCTCTTGTTCAAGATAACTGGCCTTTGGGAAGTAACTGACAGAACTGTTGAAACTGTAATCAAACAATAAGGTTACTCTATTTAGGTAGAAGGAGGGGAAAAACACACAAAAAAAGCAAACAATGGAACCCCCCAAGTTTTAGAGTAGAAAGAAAAAACAAAAGAACAGTGGTCAAGAACAGGAGTGAGCCAATATTACCAAATTCTACATTGATGTAAAATTTCCTGTGAGAACTGCCTGAAGCTACAACAAACCACACTGCATAGAATTTTTAATCACAGTACAGTAAACCCTTCCTGAAAAAGACAGTCTTACAGGTAAAGATAAAACCAGGCATAGGAATTCCTGTACAAATAACAGGAAGATAGTTCATAGTGCCCCTGTTGGGCTATGATTAAAAACAGATTTATTCTTTCACAATCTACAAAATCAGCAAACAGCACTTAGAAATATACATAAAACATCATCATATTCTAACACTTCTAAATTTTGAAATCATCTTAAAATAAAGCTCTTTTTTTTCTAATGGTTCTGCTCTTTCCAGCTCACCATGATTCTGTGTCTTTTCTATGAACTGAAGAAAATACAGTGTTCATCTTTTTGGAGAAGGGGTGGGAGAAGGAAAGGAATGGGATTCCTGAAGGGATGATTTGTACTTAGCCACCTTTGCTGGTATGTAACACTTTGATAAAAAATAAACTAAGTAAACTTGTCCTAGTTTCAGACCAATGAAATACATTTTAAATTGTAGAAATTAATTTCTTTGCAAGAAAAAAAAAACAACAAAACAAATACATTATTGAAGTACTTCAGTAATTATCTTTTTGTAACTGCAATTTAGAAAATTTATCTTACCTCGACTGATATCCATAGCATATAATTCTCTTAATCCAAGGTCATTAAGAGATTTTGTCACATCAAGGGGTTCTTGAGACTGGTAATTCTTCAACAGCAGAGTATGTGAAGGATCGAACTCACATTTACTACATATAATCGGTATGAGCTCTTGAAGGGGTGAATGTGGACTAACTCTTACTACTGTCTTCTGTGTCTTCTTGTAGTTTATCACTACCCTTACTGTTTGCTAAAGAAAAGAAAATTCTGATAAATACCAACAATTCTGAAACAACTTTTGCCCTTGAAAGGCAACTTCACTAATGTTACAGATTCAGAAACATTTTGTGATTCCCTTCTACTTAAGAAAAGGACACATGAAACAGTCTGCTACTTCTTTAGCACCTGTTATTTACTTGTCCAGCAGGGTACAGGCCTGGAGCAAGATGCCCCACTAGGTTACATCAGGCAGCTGTAGAAGTCAAGCAATGAGCCATTAGTGTGTGTGTGATCACATGTAGAAGGAGGGTAAAAGGGCAGCAGAAGAGCTCCTCTGTCCCTGCTAAGGGCTTTATATAAATTAAAAAACAGTATTCTTCTATACAGCAGAAGGGCAAAGGCACAAGGAAAAATGTGGGCAACACCCAGCAGTGCCTTCTTAAGGGTACATAAAAAAAGCTGAGAAACAACAAAGAAGTACAGTGCATGTTAAAGGAAAATGAACACACAATCAGAAGGGCATATATATCATAGCATGACAGATGGTACAAGTTGTCTTTCAGTTTGTGGAAGGCTGTATTCAGCCACACTTGATCTGCAGAATTTATCAAAAGGACAATAAGGTGTGAGATTTCAAATAATACAGTAATCTTTCCTTCTTTCAGCAGCAAAGATGTTTGTTACAACAAACTGAGATATATTTTACCTAAGTGGAGGTTATCAAGAACACAGAGTCAATCATTTCATAGTGGTGCATGACAAGAGGATGAGAGATGAAAAAGCTGAAACAAGAGGCGGAGCTACCAGCTGGAATTGTTGAATACAAAAAATATTCTAATTTCTCAAGATGCTTTAATTTTAGTTCTCACCTCTGGTATAACTGGAGTAGGTTTCTTCTTATCCATTTGCTTTGGCTTTACAAACACCTTTTCCACTTCAAGCATCCCCACTGGTGTGTTTGGTTTGAATTTAATCTGGCTATTTTCTGCTGATACCAATTCTATAGTATAACTTGATGGATTTAAATGATACTGTGCACAGAGAAAGATCAGCAAGTCCATCATGGGCTTCCTGTAATAGACAAATGGAACTGTCACAGCGATGACAATTAAGCAGGCTATAACAAAATGTATTGCTAAACATTTAATCCAAGTCATCCTTTCCTTTCCATGACTAAACAGTTAAAGTTGGTGCCTGGTACTAACTACCTTCAACATTAAAAAAAAGCCAAAACAAAAAATTATCCCTAAAAATAAAATTAAGCCAGATTGCACAAAAGTATGCCAAGTGCTTTAATGCTTCATCAAATGGGGAAATTTTTTGCTTCTATGAGTGATGTTTTTCCAAAGGCCTGCAGGAAAATGTGGATTGGCCACCTCATTTGACTTCAATGCAAACTGCAGCACTGCACCAGTGGTGATAAATGTGCTCCTATTCATTAATAAAAGAGTCTTTCTGAAGACCAAAAATTTTATATTCATTCTGAGCTTACAAGGGATTTTATTTTTCAGAAAATTCTGAGCATGAGGCTCTTAGAGGAGACAGAAGAAATTAAGTTAGTGGACATCTCCTTTTAAGCTCATCTTCCATTAGGGATCCCAAAATAAGATCCAAATGTTTAATACAGAGAGAAAAAAGCTAAATGACAATATAGTAGTTGAATGTCACCTCTTGAGAACCTCTGTGTGATGCCAATTTCCTTTTCACAATGAAGTATGGTAAAATGAATTTTTCTTATGTAGTCACTAACTGTATATCCTTGTTCTCTGTACTCAATGAAGAGCATGCAGACCACAGACCAGCATATTAAGATAGGCTGAGCATTTTCAGTTGGTACTGGAATAAATTTGTTAAACTGTACTCTAAACAGAAGTGTCATAAACGTTTAAATAGAGTAAGTGTAGTATCCTCACTGCAACTTATAGAAACTGAATAAGGTTATAGTACCATCAGGTCACTGGAACTGGTAATTTCTCAATCATTTTTAGAGTTGGGTAGTCATCTATAAGAAGCATTTCTCTTTGACACCCTCTGCATCTCTCTGTTACAGCTACAAACAAGGAAATGACCTGCTCTGTCTCACAAGGATATTATGAAGATAATTTAGAAGTCTGTAACACAGTATGTTGAAAAGAACACTGAAGCATGTAAGATAAAATTCATGTCGAAATTTTAGCAGAAATCTTAAATCCTAGATGTAATCTTGTAACAGATGCAAGTATTCTGGTAGCACAGCCAAATGTGAAAATAGCTTCTTTAAAGAGCCATCAAACTAAGCTGAATTTTAGAGAATATAAAGATATTGAATACATTTATTCACTAGGAAGTTAAGAGACTTTTCATACAATTTGGTTTTGTAAAAATACTAAGAACATCTCAATGTTAGAAATTACTCTGAACACTGTTTTCCCTCCCTTTAATCAACCTCAGAATACAAATCCTCTTTTCACTTGGTCTTGAAAAACAAGTGTTCTTCAAGCAAACTGTCTTCTGGTTTCTAGAAGCAGAGCTGGACTCTGGTGCACAGGCAGCACTTCCAGAAGATGGAAAGAGTTTGAAAGCTCACAGATACAGTTACTGCAGACCCATTACTTCTTTTCCCCAGAGAAAAGGTTGTGCCTGTTGAATGGCAGAAGAATACTTGCCTCAAGCAACAAAGGCAGGAGGAACAATAAAAGCAAAGAACAGAGAAATGATGCTCCAAGGTGTCAAAAAGCAGCCATCTGATGGTCTGAAGAGGTATAGAAGACTGCAATATACCTTCATCTAGATGATATATGTATCAGCCTTGGGAATACCATGAGAAATACACTGAGCACTGCAGAAAAAATACTATTCTTCTCTTCTCACGTAGCAGAGAGTTTATTTCCATTCTTCTGTCACATTTATCACAACCTGTTCTTATTAGAATAAAGAAGGAATTACTCCATTTCTTGTGCTTCTAACCCATAATAGAACAAGTACATCCATCTCAGCCTAATAAGAGATGTAAATGCAAATCATGTCATTTCCCCATTTCACTGGGAGTGGGGCAGGGGAGGGGAGAAGAGAGCCAGGGAAGACAGCAGACACTACTTCTGTAGTGACCTTTCTGGTTATCAGCCTGACGGGTAAGTTACTCATTAATTTTTTTTCTTGTGCATTTTTATACACTGACTAGCTTTAAAAGTTGCCTTTCCTCTGGCCTTCAGTTATTGGAGAAGGGCAAAAACATCAAAGATGACCAGGACGAGAATTCACAACCAAAGACTGCCGAAAGCCATTCTGTTGAAATGCACCATGGTGACAGGGGCAAGCCCTCACATTAACCAGAGTCACAAGAAGTGACAGAATGATAAGTGTGAAACATAGCTGCTCACAAACAACAGACAGATAGATGCAAATTAGTACACAAAAACAGTGATTCTGTGCAAATTTGCTTTCCATTGGTACTTCCAGAAATTACCTGCTTTTGTGGCAGATGCTACACTTTAAGTGTCCGTCCTCCACTAGAAGCTGAGACATCTTTGACAACTGCTTTAGACAGGTATTCCTACACTGATGCAAAAAGCTGTCTTTTTTTGTAATCACATCCTCCAAAACTCTCAAACCTTTTTTTTTTTTTTCGCTAAAGCATTCAAGAATTGAACATATATATCACCGTTAATATAACAGCTTCCATAAATGATATTTATTAAAATTCCAGGCAGTGGCCACCAGCTGTCTCAGAGTAAATAATGTGATTGTTCTCCATCTAATTTCAGTTAAAGCTTTATTTGTAAGTTCTTTAACCTCATTACGTTACTTGGTTTTATGGAAATCAAAGGAAAAGGGGAGGAGAGAAGGAAAAGGTGGTGAGAGCAGGAAAACTTAGTTTGGTTTTCTATAGATCTCTGATTACTTAAGACTATGGCTCCGTGGAATTCCTTGCAAAAATATTTACTGACGCTATTTTTTAAATAGAAAAAGACATTTTTTTAAAATGAACAACAAAAAAATACACCAACCCCCCAGAATTTGTTGCTAGCAAAAGTTAAGTACAATAGGTTTTGAAAAGTAGGGCAACACTACAAAGCTTGTTATTCACTAGCTAGCTATACAGAGTAAACCAACAGTTTATTAAGAATACCCTAATGACTGAAAATACTCAAGAAGGGATCAAATGGAAACTCACAAAGGACTCTAAGAAAACAAATTCAGCAAAGCTAAGGTCTCTCTGAAAGGCTTCTGAAACCGAAGCCCTAAACACACTACTCTGTAGAACTACGTTTGACACAGTATTTCCAAATAAAATTAATGTCACCAACATATTGACCCTTGAAACCTGTAAGTTAATTTACTGATGCATTCAACTGAAACTAATTTTTCAATTTCAAGAAAACTTTCTCAAACTCTGCATTTCTTCATTGTAGAAAAACAAGAAAACAAACTTTAAATTACCAGGCTTCTAAATAAAATAGTTCTTTGTTGTTGTTTTTTTCTTCTTTGGCTGCAGGAAATCATTCAGTCCTATGCTAGATTTAGAAATCTCACTCTGAAAAACATTCCAATAAACAATTAAAAAGCAAAACAAAACAAACCCAACAAAAACCCAACACCAAACCACAAAAGCCTCACTCATTCCTTCCTTCACTTCCTATCACTCAATGCTTTTACCACGTTTTGGGGGAACACCCTAGCAGGAGTCCTGGTGATGAGAGCACAAACACCTTAATCAGATTCTGAACAGAAACTGGAACACTATCACCAACTACTACAAAATACAGATGGTCATCTAGGCTCAAAGAAGAGAATCAGTCCCACTTTTTTGCTTTACTTGCTCACAGAACAACTTAAGGATTAAAAAATTATTCTCTCTCGTAATGCTTTCCTGTGAAACACTTTTTTTTTTTTACTTCTTTCTGATCTTCTTCTGCCTTCTTCTACTCTCTCAGAATATTTCTCTATGTAACGTTTTGCTATCCACTATGCCAAAGTAGTGGCCAAACCAATCCAACTTGATCTGAGAGTGATCAGATCTTGTGGACTTCTTGTGGACTATGGCATTTAAGTACATGGCTGTATGAGATTTAAGAAGCTATTCACTCCTCAGAAGCTCTGAAACCATTCATCTCTGATTACAAAAAGAGACAAATTAGCAACTTAGCTGCTTATGTAATGTCTAGAGGATCTTGCCTATTTGTCCACAAAATACAGCTATCAAGACAGAGCAAAACCAGATTAAAAGATAGTATGAAGTATATTCCTGCACAGCATTTCCCCTCATTCTGAGTAAGCCTAGCAGTGTCCGTATAAATTCTGGTTTGCAAGAGACCCATTTATCAAATCAATCACATACAGCACCGTGACTTAAAAAAAAAATGCAATAACTGTGAGAAAGTAAAACTGATCAGGAAATGTGTGCACTTCCTGATAAGCCTGTGAGGCCTGTCTTGAACACTGAGTAATTATACACAATGTAATTTGGCTGACTGAAGATACACGCAACATTCCTTCCCGGTACTTCCTCTGAGCAGAGCAAGGTAAGGGCAAGGTAAGCACTCATAAGTGCGGACAAAGGGGGTGAAAAGAAGAAAGAGAAGTACCTGACAAGTCTCAACTTTAAGAAATTTTAAAAGCAGAGGAAGGCACTGTATTTACAGACAGCAACACTCTTTACCATAAACACACTAGCAAGAACACCATAAAGCATCATAGTAATCAACAATCATTTCAGCAAATTTCTTCTGAGCAATATAACCTCAGATAGAAGTTATCTTGAAAATCACACAGAGCCTAGGGAGTAAGGGGAGAAAAAAAGAAATCCACAAAGCTCCAGTCCATTGCAGCTCTGGTGAACAAGCTAGTATTTAATATCTAAGCAGTGACCTCGTGAACTCTAACAAATGACAATGCGTGCAAACAGGCTAGAGCCACAAAAGTCTTCATCTCTCATTACAAAGTGAAGTAGGTGTAACTATGTATTTATATCATCTGGTTTAAATTAGTCTTCTTGCTTTCAATAGTAAAAACACTGGCAATACATTGACACAAGCACAATATACAAACAGTTACTTTATTTTAGCTTAGGAAAGCAAGAAACTAGCATCCTAATTGTTCTGATCCATACAAAGCACCACATAGGACTCTTCTTAGTAAACTTGTTATGATAATTAATGTAGCATTTTAAGCCCCAGAGTGTATGTTTTCAACTCAACAGTCAATGTCCAGGTCTTTCTCAACTAAAGGTGATTTAACAGTTAAATGAACAATCAATACTACCAGTTAGCAGACTGAAATATGTTTCAAATTAAAACCAGCTTAAACAAAATATATTTAATTAAAGAAAAAAAAAAGAAAAGAAAAAAAACCTGTAGCTAGAAACTATTTCTTTGAAGCATTATAGATTTTGTCTAAAGTGTTGACATGCTTTTTACGGCTGCTAGCAGTCTAGAGGTGGCAGTACTGAGCAAGGGCTCAGCACATGACTTGGTACCCAAACAGGATGCAGGCACTCATCTTTGGGTCTAAGCTGAAAAACTTAAGTGATGAAATTCGGTCACTCTTACAAAAAGAGCAACAGGTATGGCTACACATCCTGATATGTGCCTTACAAAATTTCTCAAAAAACACTCAAAAAGGCAGGTAAATGTATCAAGTATTTGTTTGCTTCCACATCTATCAAAAAATGTTCAAGCTAACATAACTTGTATATTTACTAAGTGATTAAAGCCTGCATGAAGGTTGAAGTAAACTTGAGCAAGAAAACAGAACTAAACAAAAATGTCATTTTGTGTAACTCACCTCCCATTAACTGTAGTATACTTGATCACATCTCCTGGTAGCACCACTGATAGTTCAATGTCTTTATCAATTACATTCTCTTTCTGCTCCATGATGAGGTTGGCTGACTCTGTCTCATCAAACGGAGAAACAGCAATAGGTTTTGTTTCAGATGGAGGAGGCGGTGCTTTAGATTTTCTTCTGAAATACACAGATGCAAATTAAAATATGTATTTATATATTATTTTATAGAGGCAAAATAACAAGTCTCAGAATGGGAATTAAGCATACAATTATTTTCACTCAGACAGTGTAATTGTTATGTGCAAAGAATGGGTGAGGGAATAATTTAAACATACGATGAATGGTGACAGACGATACAACAGGCTACGGTATCTACCATATATATAAAAAAAAGCCCAATAAACATCAACACCCTGCAAAAAAAAAAAGGGGGTTTTGTACATATACATTAAAAGGAGTAATTTTTTTCTTCTTCCTTTGGTTACACAAAGAATCCTATTTTTGCATTCTCCAAACAGATTTACTGGATTAGTATAAACAGGAATACTGTACTATGCAGTATGAAGCTGAATTGCACTGACAGTATATTGAATACAGAGGCTAGATAGGCCAGGGAATAATCACACTTTTCTGCTCCAAAGTTTTCTTTTGAATATCCAAATTATTCAAACAAATCCTAACAGCCCTAGCTTATTTACTTCTATACTGTAATAATATAGCAGTATAATCAATACTGTGTTCAGTATTTCTTGACATTTCAGTTACAGTTTGCTTTCATATTTTCCCCTCACCTATACTGATTTGCTATTTTCATTTTCTCACTATCCTTTCCCATCTTAGTAACAAGCCAGTGTACTCTTGAATGTAAAGAGTGACCACTAAATAAATTTCACTTACAAAATTGAAAGGAAGTAAAAGGAAAACTCTCTATATCTCTTAATATATTTATGCTGCAGTAAATTCTGAGGGTAGGACTTGTATCCTACAACATATAGTCTAGCACTCCTTTTTATTAAATACCTTTTCAAAATTCACCAATACTGATACCAGTGAAAGATATTATTAAAAATTTTGTCATTAGAAACAAATCCAAAAGCCACTGCAGAGACACATTACCTCATGAGAACTTTTCCAAACATTTGTTTTAAAGCTTGAATGGAGCCACATTCACAGAAAGTTAAAATACATTTAAAATAGAATAAACAAAGGACGCAAAAATACACTTTCAATTTAAATCCTGGAGCTGTACCAAAGTTCTTTTTCTTTAAGCATAAGCAAAGAAATTAACTTCTGTAATTGTCCTACAGAATTAAAACAAAAGATCTAACATATAGCAATTAGAAACACACACCTTTGTTGGGAAAACAAACTTTAAAGTCACTCACAATGAAGAGCAAACAAGGTCCAGAGCAGCACTGCAAAAGACGACTGTGTAATGAGACTTCACATGACCGATCTGTTCTGAAAGCGCTTAGAGTTTTGAACTTCAGAACTCTGTGCTGAATAATTAACTGTTCACAGCCCTCATAGCTAATCGGGAGTACACACAGACCTCCAAATATGCTCAATGAGGATTTGCCATCACAATTTATACCTTCTCTCTGTTAATGTTTTAAATTAGTTTTGGTGTACTACACATCCAATTCAAGACGTAGCATTAGCTGCAAATTTAACTTAAGTCTCTACAGTAACTCACCTAGACTGCTTCTGGGTTATGTGAACATTGCAAAATGTACGAATCAATCTTTTTTATTTTTTACTCCTGCCTCACATGATTGGCTAGTGATTTTTTGGGGGCACGATATTTAGCTAGGAAATTATTAGCCATTGCAGAACATCAATACAATTATTTAGTAATAAAAAACCAACACAACAAAAAACTCACCCTATGACACATTATTAATACAAAAAAAATAAAAAATCCAAGCCCAAAGTGAAGCAGTACACTGCTTTTCCCCTTCTGTACTCATTCTTACATCTTTAAGGGACTTTTAAGTGACTGACCTTCAATGATATTTATTACAACCGAAATAAGAATTTAATCCTTGAAAACTACATTTGTTTGCAAATGCTAGTGAACTAGTATTTCCCATTAAGCAGACAAATACTACTTCGTTGTTGGAACTCTACTATCCCTAGAGAGTGCTTAATCTCACACTGCAATAAATGTATGGTCAACATCAGTAAAATGTGGCTTCATTTGTACAGTGTCTAACTTACAATGAGAAGAGCCTGAATGGATAAAAACTCTTGTCAAAACTTGTGTGCAATAGCTATACTGATGAAGTCCCATGTATTTATAAAGACCACGCATACATGGGGGCCAGGCAGTCTAACATAGCCAGCTGACCCTCCATTTAAATCACTGCCTTACCCACATCTAGCACATCTTCATGTTCTTTATGGTTATGCTTACATTTCCCACCACACAGAACAGTGGAAAAATCCCCAAGTATTCTTTCTCAGAAGTCATGCTGAGCTTTTGGCAACCTCTTATTAAAAAACAAGGACCCAAATACTTTCCTTTTCTGTTTCCAGATGCCATGTGTTTTTTTTCTTTTTTTCCTTTTCACCCATTACCTCATCTCTCATTCTTCAACCAAAGTATTTACATTGGGTCTTACAGCTTTTTCTTTTCTTGAGTTTCTGCCTCTACGTTGCCACAGGAGAGGCTGCCTGACAGGTAAGGGAAGCCCTGGACTCCCAGCACCCCACAACACCCCAATAACCCACTGGTACTGGGCAGCAAGAAAAAGTCAAATTACCATTATTACATCTATAGGTGGAAATCCAAAGCAGGAAGTGACAAGATAGTGGAAATACACATAGCAGGGGTAGTTTCAACCCACAAACCCCCTTCTCCTTTGCACTACGAGGCCTCCAACATTACAAAGGCATCCTCCACACACTGTTGCAGTCAAACACCAAAAAAGTAAAACCAGCATTACCCAAGTAACTCCAAGTCTATGCTATCATTTCAAACACTCGTCCATCACCAAGAACAAACAAACCAAAAGCCCAGCTCTCTCTTGCCTCTTTACCTCTAACGGATACTTCACAAACCAGGAAAGCTGCTGCTTTTTAATGAATTTGATAAAGAAATATTGTGGTTAAGGTAGTTTCTTCTCCTGAAAAGAAGAAAAGTCCTGATTTTTAGTAAGACAAAAACACAACCATAACAAAGAGAATAAATTCCAAAACATATAAAACCAAGTCTTTAGCTCAGCAAAAGGTGTTCAGTAAATGGTCACACTCTCAAGCACTTTTATGTTCAGACAGCTTCTGGATATGCTAGAAGCTAAGTAGATCTGATTTCAAAGTACACATTACAAGCAGTTAGAAGAAAAAAAAACATACTCTTTATTTGCATGGCTACTACGAAACTAAAGGCAAGATGCAGGAAGAACCAAAGCACAGGCTATTTAGCTATGACATAGAGGGAGCTGTAAGTGAAATTTTAACAAAATAAGGTCACAAGTCATCATAAAAACTCCTCTGGAAATTGTGCTGCAGTCTCCTACACAATGCAGGTTCTCATTCCTTCCTTGTCTCCATAGGT